ACTGCAAATTGCAGCCTATTACCAATGAAACATGTTGCAAATAATACAAACAGAAACCATCCTTATTCTGTATTAGTCATAAACACTCCAGATGTGATTCTCAATAGTCAGCTGGCACTTGAATTATTTAACAGGGTGTGAAGATTAAATCAGAACCAGCAGCTAAAACTTTTAGCAGAAAATGCAGGTATATGTACTGTGTATGTAAAAAAATAACACTGTTAGGAATGTCTTGCTTTTTAAAATCATTTTAGTTTTTCTGTTTATAATAATTAATCTAGAATGGTCAGAATTCTGGCTGAAGTACCTTGCTAAAGTAAAATTCCTTGGCACAGCAAGACATTTCAGGAGAGCAAAAACAAAAATATGTTTATTTCTCTGATCAAAGTGCTAAAAGGCAGATCAAGAAAAAATAAGTAGAGCTGTGAGGAGTGATGGAATAAACAGCTTATACAGAGACAAGAAAAAGTTTTTGAACACCCTTAGTTGGTCTCATATATTTGTATACACATACAACATACTGTAAATAGACCTTCATGAAAGTTTTCATAAAAGATTAAACCTGATTTAATGTATAACACAAACACCTTATTTTTATTTGAAAATTTTGAGTTAATAGGAATTTTGAACAGAAAAATACAGTACTCAACTGATGATAATTTCTGTGAATTAAATAATAATTATAATGAATCACATATATTGTATTGTATCTTAGTTGTCTTGAGATGCTGTCTTATTTTGCCTCTAACCTGAAGTGGCAATTTGGGTTGTGTATGAGTAATCTACTTGTTAGCCCTTTGATGTAAGGCAGCGATATTAAATCTTTGTGGAGAAAATGTATAAACACCTTGCATTATATAAAAGGGGTAAGTAACACACCTCCACTATAAGCAATAATGTTTCTATTTTAAACAAAAGTATAAACTGATGCAAAGCATTTTCAGTATAAATAATAAAACAGATATTTACTGTTTAAGCAAAAAACGTTTCAAATGGTGAATGGAAAAAATGTTAGTATCACTAACTGCACTATGACAAACTACAAGAGAGGTATTGAATAACATTGAAAACATTACAATTGTGTGGTCACTGCACACAAACATATGTTTGACCACTGTTGCTTTTTTTCGCCACTTTCCCTGAGCCCCTCCTCCTCCATTTGGCTCTTAAATGGACTGCTGTGCTGTTCTTGCCACCGAAGCCACTGGTTTTCTTGAAACTGACTTGCACCAGGCAGAGGCTGCCTCCTGTCACTCAAACTCACAAGAGTGAACATTTGCATGAACTTGAGTTTGAGCTTTAGTTGGAACAAGAACATGAACTTGATCATATTGAATTTTCAGCTGTTTTTCCTTTTTTGTGTTTCTCGAGCTTTGCATTTTTTGGCCTCATTTTGCAGATTCTGACAACTTTTAATTTTCAGATTATCAGACATAAATAGGACGTAGTGCTCATTTTTCAAGCAGCAGAAGAAGAGTACCAACAAACCGAACCAGAAAGTGCTTTATATTCTTAGCTTCAACTTTTATCCAATGCAGTTTGTGTTTGAAGTTGAAATTGTGAACTGTGCAAAAGTTGTAGAACATCAAGTGATTTAAACAAAAAATAATTCAACTATTAAAGGTGAAACAGCAAAAGATGAGGGAGAAGTTAAAGAGATCCTGGGATGAATTAGCCGACCAGTTGAACACTGTAGGATGATCTGAAGGCTGCAGAGGGTGGTTAGAAACAATGAAGTCCTGGTGTTTCTAGTTATCAGGTTTCACTCCAGGTAGAGAGAAGAGAATGAACACACATTGGTTTCTGAAGAATGAGAAGAAGGAACAACTAAGACTCCAACAGCAGAAAAGCAGGGAGGACAAAAAGACCTTAGTAGGAAAAGAGTGGGATTACAGATAAGAGAGGGCAGTATGATGAGAGGCACAGAGAATCAGTGAAGAGTAAAAGGACTATAGCGAAGCAAGAAAAGCACTAAGTGAGCATCAGTTTTGGATGATTGTGAGGCGGCAAGGCGATGTTGCAGGCACGCTACCTGGGAGAGCTTAGCTAGAAGGTAAGATGATCAGGTTGTCACAGGAGCATGTCAGTCACAGCAGTACATCTGTGGAGTTTAGGAGACGGAGGAAACCTTGTTCTTGGTAGTGAGAGGGATAGAGTCACAAGACATAGTGATACACATTTTAAAATAGAGTCATTAAATGGCTTTGCTTACTTTTCTTATTTTGTGTACTCTTTTCTTTATTGTTTCCAGGTGAGGCCTCCTGGTAAATTGTATATAGTGAAATAATAATATGAGGCCTTAGGTGTCTCAAATAATAAGATTTAAAAATAACTACTGAAGATTCACCTGAATTCTGACTGAATATTAGGGGAAGAAGACATGCATATCCGAAAAGTAACACCATCTTGATTATTAAGAGCTTCGTATTATGTGTGTACAATATAAAAGACAGGACTATTAAGAAGCAAGTAATTTCTTAGGATATTGGTGACCAGTTGTTAAAAAATTGCAGGGGGTTTCACTGTTTATACAGACAAATACACTGTGTGTATGCATCTCTAAAATATCTAACAGCATTAAGAATGTTGCTCATCAATCACCCAGTTATCTTCAACATGACTGATTATACATCATCATTATGTTCCCACAATTAGTGGTGTTAATTGTAGTTAAAAAATAACCATGGCAGCGAATATACACAATAATGCACAGATACTGGTTTTGACATATCATAGTAGGAACTTTAAATAAATGAACCAAGAAAGATGTACACTGAAAATATATACTGTCTATTCACTATTCTAGAGTCTTAGGCTATGTGTGCATGTAATCATCTTATTTTGCTTTAATAAGACCGTTTCTATTCCGGATCTTTTCATTGCATTTATGCTTGGGGCAGAAGGCAAGGCTGTTCAGTCCTCAGGTCCTGCAATAGGAATGACTAAGACTCCTCTGTAGCACTTTTAATTGATCTTTTTTTGGCCTTGCCCCTTCCTCATACATGTTTGGTATGACTCTTGATGATGGATGGCTGGTTGTGGGCTGAGCTACAGTCCTGGGTGATAACGATGTCGATAGGGACTTGGGTCTTGGGGTCTCCAACTGTTATATTGTGATAGAAAAACGTTGTTTTGTGGGCTTGCTGGTAAAAAAAAACGTTTATAAAAATATTTCTCTAGTTCGATGACATTATAACATGAGTTTCTACCACCGTTTTATACTAGAATTTGCATTATGCATAAACATATGATTCCAAATCATAGCAAGGGTTCTTACAGGTTGCAGCTGTTTACATGATTTCAGTATCCTATTCAGAAATACTGATTGGGGTGTTCCATAACACCATGTAAGACTTTTAATTCCATTTTAATATTACCACTGACAATATCTGTTTACAGTATATTCTGGTTGAATAAAACATTATGATTATAAGATTTTTGCATACTTGAATGGTTCTTCTTATTTTCTAAAACTCTTGTAAAATTGTCTTTCTGAGCATAAAAATAAAAAAATAATATACATTTTAATGTGAAACTACATACAGTAACACAACAACCGCTGTGGGCAAATTCCGTTTTGTGGTTAACACTGCATATTATAGACATGCAAACATATAATAATTAAATTTTCATTTTGATTTCTGGGTTGAAGAATACAGTTTAGATTTTAGTCAGGATTTGTAGAAGACTTTTACATTTTAAAAGATTAAAGTCTAGATTTTAATTTTGTGAGTTTTAGTTAAGTTAAAAATTGCACTCAATTCTCTCTGCATACAAATGAATTATTGTCCTAATTCATCACAATGTGTTGATTACCTGTGCAGTGCCTGAAATCCCACATGCGTTTCATTAGATTTGTAGGTAAAAATATTGCCTTTTAACAATACTTTACCTGGTCCAAGCTTTTCAAATTCAGAGGAATTTCTTGACAGCAAATGTATGCATTAAGGTGCAATACTTAGGAGAGAGTATGCGTGAGCAAAAATCTTTCATCCATTTTAATATTAAAATGTAAACTTGTATAATTTATTTGGATAGAAAAATAGACCAGTCTTGCAACGAAGACAAGAAATCACTGAAAGTAACCATTAATATCAAAGTGAAAGTTTAATATTTAATTGAATTAATATGTATTACGCAAAACAGAACGCTTACCAAATTAATTCTAGCATTTCTAAAGTTTTACGGTAAAATGGTGTAAGCTGTTTGTCCTTTTGCGCTTCATTCAACAAATCAGAAATTAGAAACTATTTACTAATGTTTTCCATGAAATATAGAATATCCCTGAAAGCAACCATAAAAAGTTTTTAACAAAATAAATGTGTGATTAAATAACATTATGAATCTCATTTATAATTACGAACTCTAATTTATTTTACAGACGCTGTAGATTCCTCGTTATAATTATTAAAGTAGTACGATTTCAGCAATATACTACTGCATATGATGGTGTATAGTCTGACTAAACGATCACCATTACGGCATATTATGTTAAAATTAATACAGTACATCCTATTGTAAAAAGTACATACTGTAAATGCAGAATATGTACTGTACATACTAGCAATTGCACCGTGAAAAAAATCTTTAAATAAACTACTGCTAATTCGAATTCTGTTTTCAGCCTTAAATCAATGACCACATGATTGGTATTAGTTATAATGTCCACTTAATCTGCTGTCGGTCAAGTAAAACAGTATGCCCACAGATCATTTTCCATGGACGTCTTCAAAAGAGAATTTTGCCGTCATCGCAAAAACAAGCACGGCTCCGTTTTACATTGTGTTACAGGGAAAATGTCTATTCAAACACAAAAACTGGTACGCGTGCAAAAACATTTAATGATATTTGGAGTATAACATAAAATCAGCCCAGTACTTGCTCCAGACAGTAGTGTCTGGTGACCAGAGGTTCATGATTGGAGACGGTTTGGAAAGTAGGAGGAGCGGAAAGTGTTAGTCCAATCCTGTCTTCTATAAGCCTCCCCGCAGCTCTCTTCCTCTCTCCTGGAAACAGTGAAAATTGCACTTGGATCTGCGGACGCAGATGTCATGTGTGAACTCGCATGCTCTTCTTGCAGAACTGCCGACCTCGGTTAATAAAAACAAGCGTGCTGTACACGTCGTCTTCTGGAATGCTTTTACACACCGTTGATGGCGCAGCTAAACTTTTGCTGAGGATCTTGTGTTTTAAATAAATGTTTATGTTTGTATCTTCATGACTGCATTCAGAAGAGATTCGCCACCATGCGAGGTAAGAGCACAACTGTTTGTGACAGCTGATGCAAGTACATCGAATTTAACGTGTCACTCTTTTTTCCAGATTTCTGTCTTTCTTGCCCTTAAATGTAAAATGCATTTAAATTAAATGCATGAATAACTTCAAGTTATAATTGGAGACGCAGTTGCTGGGAAAGTTTATACTTCTAAATCAACGCTTTTAAGTAGCCCTCTTTGGTGTATACTAAACCACATACAGTATAGGAGGCTACTGTTGTGTTTCTGTATTAAATTCATGTTTAGGTCAGTGGATTATGATTACACTCCGCAACAGAATTAGAATTTGCAAACATTTTGCAATGCTGAAAAAAAAATCGTGCAGACTGGAGACATGCTATATTCATTGCCTAAAATTACAGAATTAATGCATTATTAATGATTGGTATTGCTCGTACTTCGATATTGTGCAAATCTGATTTTTTTTTAAACTTGTAAATATGAAGAAAAGGTGAAGCATCCTTGTGAGACCTCACATTTATTCTGCATTTTGATAATAATTTGGAGGAAATTAATACAAAAAGATGAACCCCGAAGATATAATAAGACAGACAACTTTCAAATGACGCATCGGTTGTTTTGTTATTAATTCACGAATATTCCACTATTTTGTCTGACAAAAGATACATTCACAGTGTTCTCTCAGAATTATCTGAGTTCTACTGACCTACTTATATCAGTCAAGCGCCACTCTGCGCTGAAACACCGAAATGCAGCATCAGCGCTTGAGGTCCAGACACAAGTTCACGCACATAGCAGACTCCCGGCTTTCTCTTTTGCGCGCAGTCATGTGGGTTGGATCAAATGCTTTTAACTATGATGAATGCGCTTTGCTTAAAGTCTTAGGAAAAGCAAGCTATAAAATCCTTTAATGAATAGAAGTAAACGTTGTTGGTGCCGATTTATAATTGACCAGCATTGAATAGATTAAACGGTTTACAAAACTGCTTTAATAAATGTACAATTATTTCTGACCATGCTCTGGATACATGCATGGTTTCAATTTTAAATAGGGTATTTTGAATCTTGCTTTTTTTCCATTTTAATAAGTGAATGCAGATGACATATATAAGTCATTATTGTAATTCACCAGTTTTTAAATCATATAAAGCATGTTTGATCTATAAATATGGAAATATTTAGACTTTAAGGTATTGAACCCTTTCTGTTTTACAGTAGGTCAGTTTGGACATATTTGCAAAAAAGTCGGCTGTAAGACTCTGGAAACTCTAGTCCGAATATACTGTACAACTTATTTTATAAACCGTTGCATAGAATATGTGGGTTATTATCAGCCACAACACAATGAAGTAGTTTAATTGTTAAACCTATTCTCTACACAGACGTTACAGACATCACCGCAAAACCATGTTTATTATTATGTGTACCATTTCTCAAATAAACAATAGATGACCTACAGTGGATGTTTTTGTAGAAACAGGTCCTTTTCACCAAGAAGTACTTTAATGTATAATATTAAGAATTTCGGTTTGGGAGTTTTAAATGCTGAATGCTATCTTATTTTTTTCAGATAATTGCGTAAATTATTTATAACGTATTTAAAGATACATTTATGTATAACATAATATAGGCATCGTTAAGGCGACTAAAAGATGTAAACGTTCGTCACTTACTGTAATTATAAAACTATACAAGTACGAAACAAGCAAAAAAACATAGCAGCCGACATCAATATACTGTATTATTACTTTTTAATTAATATCCCAGAGAGAAAGCGGTTTTAGAACTTAATAAAATCATTTTACCAGTCATAACAGAGTATTGGTTGGACGATGCTTTACCAATGTTATCATGTGTTAAAAACGTATGCCAGAAGAGAAACTACAAATTAAAGAACTGGCAACAAAATATATTGTTGCATGATTTGGCTTTGTTATTTAAGAAAATAAAGGTTACAAACCAGTAGAGGACATTTGGCCGATCTATCTGTTTTAGTTGATATTGACAACATGTCTGGGCAGCTTGTTCCAGACACCAACAATACTTGTGTAAAAAAAATACTACTGTTCTTAACTTTTCAGGGTAGTTTCTGCTTGTCTCTCTGGTTTCTGGATCATTGTTGATTCTAAAGAACTCCACTGGTGTGACTTCTTGGATTGGAGAATTGTAAATATATGAATGCAGTCCCATTGTAATCTTCTCTTTTCATAACTAAAAAGATTAAGTTCTTTTAGCCTTTCAGTTCAAAGCGTTATTTTAAGCCTGTGAATTTATCTATTCACTCTTTTCTAGACTGATTTGGGAGCTGCAAAATGTTTTTATAATGTGATGACCAAACGTGTATACAACTTTCTAAATGAATTCTAAGTGCTTTGTATGATTTTGTGATAGAAGTCCTTAATTAACACTACTAACTATCCAAACTTTGTTTGCTTTGTCATTGTTATAATCAAGCTTGGTATTTCCCATATTATATTTATAATTTATGGTTATGGTTTAAAAAATCTGTACTTGTCTGCATTTTCTTTTACATGTTACATGCAAGACGTTTGCCTAGTCCTTGTCTAAATCTTCTTTGAATTTTCTTCACTGCCTCTGCAGTGTTTGCTAATCCTTGTATTCAGCCAAGTTTTTGTTTAGCATTAACGGGGAGCCCAGAATAGGCTAATTAATTTATTTGTATTTTAAGGTGGTATAGATTAAGATTTAGTTGGTATAGTTTTGTTTTTATGTTTACAGATTCAGTTGCAATGTTATGAGTAGAGTTATAAAGTAATCATGAACTCAGCTACACAGTTACACTGGTATGATCTAAGAAAAGTGGTTGGATATACTGTAAGTGAAGCAGTTGCTTTATAAATTATTGAATTGAAGGGCAGTTTCCTGCCTTATTTAGCTGTTATTAATAATATCTGAGTATAGAATTATAATGTCTGAGCATACAATGTTTTAAAATCTAATATTAAACTCAACATAATTCTAGCATATCTGTACAGCCTACAATAATCTTAGGTAATATTAATCATTATGGAAAGCAAAAATTAAATATTATTGCATTTTTTCATCTAGTGTACATCGAATGTGTGAACCTAAAAATGAAATGTTTAACAACATATAAAAAATAAAAATACTCTGTGATTCTACCAATATTATGAGGGTTATGGAGTGAACACTAGTTTAGCTACAAAGTTAATGATAATGCAACAGTCATCCAAAATATAATCAGCTTTTTTAACATTTCTTGTTTCCTATATACAACATAAGATAACAATGAAAGAATACTAACTCATTTTGGAGAAAAAATAGTATACTATTGTCTTTCATGATGCCTTAAAACCACTTTTCCATGGATGTGCTATGGAACATTTACGAAAATATTGTTGTGTCAGGGGCAATAGAGTATATAGAAAATGTTCAGAGAAACATTTTTTTCTCTGCATGTCTCTAAAATGTCTGTGTGGTTGAAAAAATGTGTATATAACTCTTCACAGACTCTTAGCTGTTGTGTTCAGTGTTAGAAACAGAGCTGCAGGCTCTGAACAAATCAACTGCAGGTTCTGTATATGTAAAAAGAGAATGAAAGTGGTGTTTTTGTTTAATTGTCCCATCAGACTTTATACAACATGATATCAGTTGCATTTTGGCAGTACAATATCTTTATCCTGCCGTTGTGGTTAAGAACTAGTGAGTGAAGAGTCAGATGTTGGCATTGCATGTACAGTATTAAAATACAAGGACAAAGTCACCATCACTCGTCTACGTTACTGCAGTTCCCCCATTCCCTCCACACACTTTCATTCCTAGAAGGAGTTCAGGTTTATGACATAGATTGCTGTTTCATTTCGAATGTCTATGTTTTGCCTTCATATAGCACAAGCCAGTTGCACCAAACTACGACCCATGTTAACATCTACTCATAGTGTTAATTGGCATTATTCTCTCGAGCAATGGTAGATGCTTAGCTTCATTAGTGCTCGAACGGGTGTTTTCCGTTTGTATAGCTTTATACTATTCGTGGTCTTTCATATTTAATTTACTTCATTATACAAGACAGTGTTTTATATCTTAATCATGAATGTGTTCTTAAATGTTCAATGTATTGCAGGCAGAGCTGTAGGGTAGGAGGGTAATTTTGTCATCAATGATACATACTTTATAATACATTACATTGCTGCCTGAGTACCATATAGGAAATGATGAAGGTGTATATTTCCCTGGTTGTTCTTGCATTGAACTGTACTGTACTGAACCAGCACTTTAAAGAACTACCATCTGACAGCTGTATTTTTCTCCTTTTAATATATGGCTGATGAGTCATTATTATGAGTTCATTATGGACTTTCTCAATCTTACTGTTATACCAAAAGAGCCAGTTGATTGTTACAAGTTACAGATTTTTTTTTAATTAAGATATTGCGGGAAAATAATTTAAAAATGTCATCAGGTGCATTTTACACTTAGTGTATAGTTACTATGTAAAATAATCACCTCCTAAAATTAATTTTTAGAAGTAATCCGTTATCCAAATAGAGTGAATGTAACTGTAATGGATTATTTTTTTAAAGTAATTTTCCCATCTCTTAATGGATGTTGTTTCAAGTGCTTTGTAATATAAGTATATATAACAGAACTGTTATGATTTTCATCATATATCAGATTGTATAACTTTAATAGTTTTCAATATCCTGTACATACTGTACAGTAGGACAAACACTATCTATGGCTAAATTCATAAGCAGACAATGTCTCAAATACTTCTCACAGCACACAAACAATATTAAGTTATAGTACAAAAATGTATGAGTTAACTTATATTTTGTTTTTTTTCTGCATTTATCACAATAAATCAAAACATGTGCTGATGATTATCATAGTATTATTGAATGTAAATGACATTTTTTATTGTTGCATTAAAAAATATTAAGTATTACATTTATGTGTAAATACCATTTAAAGGGTTACCTTTAGTTTGTTGAGTTGTACAGTTTTGCATTAGTTGTCAGAATTACCAGACAT